GTTACCGAGCGAGCAGAGTAAGCGAGCGGTGGCCATGGCGGAGCAGCCACCGCCATGTCCCAAAGAGACTCTCCCCGAGAGGACTCCTGAACTGCCGAACGTGAGTGCCTTCGCCAAAGGGCTGTCACCGATACCCCGGAGCTGCGCCCCGCTTCTGTGCCTTTCAGGGGCGGAGTCTCGCCGAGGGAAGGGGCTGGAGGAGGGCCGCGTGTGGGAGGGGATGGCGCATCTCCCTGCGAGCTCCTTCTCTCCCTGTAATGAGGGTGGCTCATTCCCACCCTCATCAGAACAATTGGACAACGTCCCGTGCATAGTGCCAGATCCCAGTTTGACTAGTTGTGTATATTATTACGAGTTGCGTTATACGTTATTTTTTGATTGCATTGTTTAGGCTGGAAAGTTGAGTCCAGCGGGCAACACGGTTGCGAGTTGTCTCAAAGAGACACCCAAGGTGAGTTGGTTTTGTAGTTTCCCGTTTTGTTTTTTTTTTTTTTCTACATACCTTCACTTTTGAAACTGTAGTTTTTTTCAGTGTTGTTTTTTATCACGTGGAATTACAGAGACTAGCTGGCAAGATTGGAAAACACTTCTGGCAGTTCATTTCCATTCTACGTGTTTTACAAAAGTCACCATGCTTGCTTACTTGGGACTAAATATAATTGTTTTAGGCGGCTTTTCCCTCTGGTAATGCAATTAAAGTAATTATTGGAAATTATTATTACTTCAGATGGAGGTTCTTTACAAGGATGCCTGCCAGAATTGAGTATCCCACTGACCCTTTCCCATGGCCAGAAGAGTCAGAGGCTACTGAGACACAAATGGATTCTGTAAACAGCAGGTCTCCCTTTAAATGATATTTAAAGATACCCCAACACTCTAGTTTAAACAATTTCCAAATTTGCTTCACTGGTGGTGGAAATTGCAAATTGGGTTAAAGCTTTCTGAAATTTATAATTGTAACATCTAGTTTTCATCAAGAACATGTGAAGTAGCTGTTATTCAAATTTAAAAAAAAAATTGAAGTGTTGAAACTTAACAATGCTGATTTGATAAAATTTAGTGTGGGTTATGTTGAGCTTATGCTCACAGTATCAGCATCTGCAGGAGCATGGGCATGTACCGCAGCCCTAAAGCATCCTCATATTTTGTTCTTATATCTGGAACAACATAAATGTCTGCAGTGCATTTTCTTTTCATGAACATTTTGTGAATGTCTAATGTAAACTTGTTTTTGCTTTGCCTTTCATATAGCCTGTTACTCCCACTGCTGTACGAAAGTTTCGAAATACAACAGATCCAGCTCCTGGTGCTAAAATAATATTCTACGGCAGTGCAGATGATCCTGACATTGCAACAGACTTGACTCATGGCATAAAGTCAACCTCCCAGTGCAGTGTAAGAATGTGACTCCTTTACTCTTGTTTAAGAATGAACCTCTTAAGAGTGTTCTTAATAAAAGCAACTGATGTCTTCATAGTCAGGGATAAAGGTGAGTGATTTATGCTGCAGCATTTCACAGCTGCTGTGAATGGTCTGAGTTCTGACGTCAAATCATAGGACTTACTTAGCATAATTGAACCTGGAAAATATTTGAAGTTCAGTGACTGTTATCAGTGATGTAACTTTTCATAGTGACTACTAAATTAATTTCAATGTTTAAGTTAATGAACAGTCTTCTGCCTACAAATTTTGCTGTTTTTTTTTTTTTTTTTTATGTGGGTTACAGAGATAAAACCAATTGAGCTCTTAGCAAAAGAGCTGTTATCTGCAAGTGTGTTTACAGTTTGGTGCCGTCATTCTGTATGCTTTCTTACCTTTGGCTAGAAACTGATTTTTTTAGCCAAAAAGTGATGGTTTGGATATGGCAGACTATTTTGTGTGTATTCTTTAGAAATGATTTTGTAATCTGTAATCAAACAACTGATGAGATCATTAGTGGTTTTATCACACAGTTAGTGTTTCTGTCTCTAAAAATAGCAGTTGTGTTAGTAAAGTGTATTTTAGGAAGGAAGGAAGTCCTAGTATTCCAGGATGTTGAGTAGGACATTTATTAGGCATATCCAAAATGAAAGACAGCCAGGTTTTGGTGTCTTTCCTTAGAAGTTTTTTGTTGAATGGATTGATCTGTACTGGATTAGCCTGTACTGTCTGTTGAAGACTTTGCATTATTAGTTAAATATTATCTCTAGGAAGGGTTGGAGGCCTAGTCTGCTAAGCATGGGTTTGGATCAACTGTATTTGCTACTAATTTTTCAATATTTCTTTATATAATATTGACAGTCTAACAATAAATCTCCTCTGGAATCTCCATTACTTTGATAGCCTGAAAAATCAAATCACTTTAGTTTTGGTCACGTTGTAATTTGACTATAGTTTCTAATATGTGCTAAGAAAAGAAAGACTACGGTCAGAAAATGTATATATTAAAAAGTGGAAAAGCTAGCATAAAAATAAAAATATCTCATGATAAGTATTTTATTTAGCTGGAAATTTAGCATAGCATTGGCTATTAGTGGTCTTCTCTCAAGATACAGTTTTGGTTTGCAACTCAATGGATAAAATTATGTCAGTGTAACCATGGAAGATCTCATTAGAACCCTTATGAGCAAACTTTTGTTTGTGTGAGTAGTCATAGTGATGCGTGAATGATCAAAGTTTGTTGGTTTTCCTGCCCCTGGTGTTGTTTGTGATGTCTTCAGGTAGCTTCTTTGATAAGTCCAGTTGCTAAAAGTGAATTTCAAGAAAAGATGCAGGACATGAAAGAAGCAATTTACTCCAGTAATCGTGAAACACCTTTGGGTAAATCACATGATCAATCTTTGAAGTTACCTGAGGGCTTGGATATAATTAAAACTACATTTGGAATGAAAGTCTTCAAAGGTAGGAAAATGTGCTATTAAAACGTATTTCCTGTAAATACAAGATAATCTGCAATTTAGTATCTATCACATGCTCTATGATTCCAACCACTCCATTTTAAGAGAAGAGTTGTTATATAACAGCTATCAAAAGGCCTAAAAATTTTTCAGTTTTGATGAAGAAACAAGCAACTGAGAACTTATGGTAACTACCAGGACTTTTGGCCCTCTTCCTTTCTGTCTTTATAGATTTCCTGTGAGAACTGTAGGGTAGCTGTCAACTTACCTTCCTTTTTCTGACAACTCTAATAAGTCTCATGGAAGAAACTTCCTTGACATATATAGCTTTCCTCCATAGACTGGAGGAAATCACATCTGTGTTGTCCATGTAGCTTTCTTGCAAAATTCTGTTCATCTGGGTTTCTGTGATTTTCTCCCTAGTCCCATGTCATTATGTGAATAATGAATTAGATGTTTATTCATCCATTCATTAGATGAATATAGATTGACTAGAAATGTGGTAAGAAGTATCATCCTTCCACAGTATTAGCAAATTCTCTAACAAGGTTTTGTTTACTATTAAGAATTAATGAAATAAGATATCCCCCCTCCTTAGCTCCCCCAACCATACATTCTCTATTTGTTTCCAGATTTAACAGCTGGAGAGCTTGTCAATCCACCAAAAACCTTTGAGGAAGTGGATAAAGAAGCGAGAGAAGGACATGATTTATATGTTCTCTCACATGAGGATTATTATGTGGGTAAGGTAAAAGGCTCATAAGAAACCACATAAAATGTTCCTCTATGTGTGTTCAGTGCCTACTGTATGCTATTTTTTGAGATATAAACTATTAATTTTAATCACTGTATTAATACAATATATATTACTTTAAAAAATTATGTGAAAAAAGCAAGTGAGAAAGCATGATCTCAGTTTCTAGAACTGTCAATCACTTCAGGATGGGCATTTAAAACAGTATAAGAACTCCATGAAGGGGTTGGAAGCCGGATTCTTTTGGGTGCTGTTTGAAAAGCAAAATATTTCCAGGATACTAGAAACGCACAGATGCCCTGGTTGCTTACTGAGTTTGGCATTGTCTATGCCACTGAAAGCAATCTCAGATTTTACTTTTTTTTTTTCTTTTTTTTTTTTTTGCAGCCACTTCAATTTTTCCCAGTTCCATGACTTTCACTTTGGCTGAAAATGTAAATTTTATGTGAATACTATTACATAGATGTGAAATTATAGTACTTTGTTGTCTCACTGAGAAATTATTCTATAAAGAGTATTGGTGTAAATTGGCCAAACTTGTAACTTCATTTCCTTTCTTCTCTGCTTTTCTTGGGTGTTTCAGTGAAATTATTCATAATCTGTTTCTGTTTCTCTTGTAACATCCATCTACCATGGAGAGGCCAAGTCAGAAGCAGACTGACAGAAAAAAAGTCAACTATGTGCCCCACCAATAGTGTAAAAAATGCCATGCTGCCATACAGCCTTATGGAGCCCTTATTAGAAAACATGCAGTGAATAGTATTTTTGAAAGTTCTAATTATCATGCTTTTTAAAAGGTGATTGAAAAGACCTTGAAGAAAAAGAATGACTGTTTTTTTCTGTGACAAAAAGACATAGCAAGAGTATATCTGAAAATGCAACCCATCAAAAACATTTTTTTGCATTTTTTGAAAACAATAAATCAAATGGTGCACGTTTCTGCTCAAGTGTAGATATTATAAAGCAATGTTTGCTTGACCCTCACCACTTAGGCTACATGGTTTAATTTATTCTGTTGGGCTTGTCTTTAATCAGACATAAAAGAACATCCAGCTGAAGCATTTTTGCTTTTTATTTTGTGTTTTCACTTTTGACAATGAGATTGTTCCTAACTACTCAATAAACAGGGAAAATGCAAATTATTTATCTTTAATTGAACAGGTTTGTTAGTTATTTGCCTTTGTTTCTTCATTGTTTTTTCTTAAGAATGAAGGTACTGGGTACATTTTTCTTCCTTAGGTGTTTTACACAGGTTGAAATGCCTGCTTTTTTTGCAGGGGAATCAGTCAATAGGAAGTATAACTCACACTTTGACAAGTCTTTTGTTTATGGAATGGAAACCCCTCACTATGAAGATGGGCGAAATACAGCCAAGACCTTCAATTGGGCCTTTGACCTGGATTCGTAAGTTGCAATGAGTTAACTAATTAATTAATTTAAAAATGATCAGGAAGAGTGGGTCTTCATATTTGAAAAAAATTGTATATCTCACAATCCTTAGCTGTATTGAACTGAACAGAAAATGCAAAATGTGATTTTTGGAACAGTTTATCCAAATAACTTTTACCATATAACAACTCTTGGCACATCTTAAGCATTATGTAAAGCCCTTTGATTTTAAGTAGCAAGATAGTTTAATCACTAAGTTGAAAGGAGTTGCTGTTTTTTAAATATATAATAATATTTTTAAATATTATTGAAAAAGTATTGAATATTTAAAAATTATGTGCAAGAGTTATTTTTGTAATTTGTAGGAAGAGAGGACCAAACCTTGTGTCAAAACGAAGTGATGATTTCAAGGAAAAATACCAGCCTCTGATTGGAAAAGTTTTTGATCCGTAAGTAAGCAAAGATGCCTTCTGTTACAAATAGATCAAGCACAAAATTCACTCACTTTTGCCATTTCTCCAGTATCTTTTTATGTCTTGGATAAAAATTATAACTGTGTGCTTAATGCTTCCAGTGCAGCACTTATTTAACAGAAAAGGACCTTCTACCTGCCCTAATTAGGCTGATAAGTACACAAGTTTCTAGTAAGGGCTGTACTGTGTCCATGTAGTGAAGTTAGAGCTTACTGTTTAAGTGGTCAAGCACTCTTTGAGACATTTTTTCCCCCAGTATTTTGCAATTAGTGGGGTTTGAAAGGACTGACACATAATACCTAATGTTTTGGGATTCAACCATTTTGCTTACTCTCACACAATTTTTGGTCTTCTTTGTTACATCATCTGTAATTTCACTGTATTACCTCCTTGGAAAAGGACATGGAACTAAATTTTGTTACCTAGCAGCATTTACCAATCTCTCTTGAATCATTAGAATGACTGATTATGAAGCAATCTGGAACAGTTTGTAATTTTACAGAACAGCGCTTAAGAAGCACCACAGAAGTGATAAGGTACAGTGGGGTTAGGATCCATATGTGCTGCAGATCTAGGGCTCCTGAATGTATCCAAAGGTTATCTTTACAGATACTCTTGATTTCTGCAAAAATATATCTGAAGGCTCACTAACATGGACTTTGGTGGCAAAATATAATTTTAAACTCAAGATCCCAGGCTTAGGTTGATCTGGGGAAGTGTTCTCTTAAATGAATGTGAGCAGTGAGCACAAATACAAGTCAGTTTATTCTCTCCCTGTCACTGTGTCCCAGCTTACTGTGAGACAGACTTGGAGCATGAGCAGCATGAAGCAGTGTGATCAGTCAGGGATGGGTTGCAGTGCAGGCTGAAACCCACCACTAATATTACAAGACAGATACAGGCTAAACTTAATCTTATTTAGTGAATTTTATGCCATCCACGTGCTATGTGTGATATGAAAATGATAAAAGAAAAATATACATAGTAGTTTTTAGATTGTGGTATTTCCATTTCTGTATGTGGGTTTTTGTTTTGTGCTTTAGAACAAAGCACTGATAATCTTTTAAATTCTGATGGGGATTTTTGATTCAGCTAAGTGTTTTAATTATTTAATTATCAAAAATAAAATGAGCATTATATATATTTTAAAATTAAAAAACGGAAACAGTTCTTTAATGTCAAAAGGAAATTCTTCAATTTTTGGAAAATAGAACTGAGAAAAGTTTTCCACATGGATATGGACTTGGTTGCTGGTTTTGGTTGACAAAAAATTGCACTTGGAAAAGCAGAGATGTGATTCAATTTTTCCACTTTATACAAAAGTAGTTTATTTCAGATATTTCAGTTGGAGATTTTGTCAAAATATTCCCATTCTTTGACTACAAGGACTTTTCTTGCATGTTTCTATCATTTTCTTTGGAAAAATGGCATAGGGTGTTTTTCTTTTTAATGGGCATAAGTGCTTAAACTGTTAATGTTTACATTTGGCTGTTTTATGTTACAAACACTGAATGTTCTAATCAGCTTGTAAAGGGTTGCTTTTCTGGAATGGTGATGTTGAAACAAAGTCCTGATAAACAAATGTCAGGTAAACTATGAGTATCATCCCTATTATTAATCACTTTTTTAACAGTAGCTGAGATTTTATTATGGCTATTAATAAACTGTTTGGCAATTAACAAAAAAATGTTCTTTTTGACAGTATAGCAGATACTATGAATGTTCCCCCAGACCATACATTTGGATTGGTGGCCCGTCCAGATGAATATGGTAAGTTCAGGAGCAGAATAAAATCTTACCTTGCTGATGAAACTCTGCTAAAGTAATAACTGTTGGTTGCATATACAATTTTCCTAAAATTGTAAGAGGCAAGGTACAAAAATTTGTTGACAATAAATTTTTGAAATGTAAATTTGGGTGGATTTAAAGTTGCTAGAGGGAAAAAAGTAAATGTCAAAAACAAAGAAGCTTTACCTTTAGGATTGTCATGCTGGTTTTTTTTCTTTTTTAAAGCCATTGTATCCAAATGTAACAAAATGGGAAATGGCAGAAACCCCTTATTGACAAACAAAAATGGCTATTTAAACCAATCATGCATATTCCCTCTCAATGATTTCTCAAGCACTTGTCTAAAAAGAGTAAAAATTACAAGTAATAAATAAGTTTTGAAAGTTGCAAGGAGATAGAAAGCAGAGTACAAAAAAAGTCTTTATTTTCATTATGACAAAATTTTGAAAGCTACTCAAATAGTCAATGGGATTGATGATGTTTTAGCATTGTGTTTAATAATTAAAGAATACAGTCAATAATTGGGAAGCAAAAAAATGAAGTGGATCAAAGTCATACAGTTAATCTGGGCCAGAGAAAGTCTGTTCAAACAGTGAATAATCTTTTACATGCTTTACTATGTAGTGTAATAAAGTTCGTGCTATAAGGAAGAGCAGAAGGAACTGAACAAAAGAGTTCATAATTAACAAGCAGGAAATAATGCTTGTACACGGCTGTTAGAGGGGATTAGGTGAACTGCTCATGTTTGTTACTGTACTGTAAATGAGCTTCTTGCACTCCAGAAAGTGACACTGGCACCTTAGGAATCTGGATGAAGATTGTAGCTCAGTATGCTAAAGTGTTTAAAAATACTGATAAAGTTAGGATACATGAAAAATGGGAACAGTAACATAAAAATATTGCTTTGTCTTTCTAGAAACCTGTGATATATAATTATCCAAAATACTAAATTTTGGATAGTATATAGGTATATACTTATATCTCATAAGTACGTGAAACGTGACAGAAGTGGTAGATCAATAATATATATTCTTTTTTGCTCAATTATCTGGACATTGAGTAAAAAATACTGCTTTTAGAAGCTTTTGAAAGCAGTGGATAGGTTTTTGAATCTACATTATCACGTTCCAAAATTTTTGATATTAACTGTGTGTGAGTGGAGAAATAATGATGTGGACTGTTTGATCTTGCAATGAAATGGCTGTATCACCTGTGCAGCAGTGCTGAAAATTAGCATCTTGAAACTGAAATTCTCCTTTTCCTAATGAATTCAAGCTTTTTTTTTTTTTGGTAAATGTCTGATTATGGTATATGCACAACTAATTGAGGAATTGTTCATTTTTATAGATGTTCATGATCTTCTTCATGTCCGGGTTCCATGTGAGTTCCTCTGTGGGAAGGACAGAGAAAGAGTTATCTTGATGGCAGTTCGAGAAAGTCTGAAGAAAGCTAACTATAGGAATTTTGATGTGTTACTAGAAGCATTAAGACATTTTGATAAGGTTAGTGCTCTCAAAAGGTATAAATGTAAAGGAATGTGTGACATTAGCTCTCCTGTGCTGTAGAGATACAGACGAGAAGAAACACAAGCATAGCAAGGCAAATATGGATGAAGACTGTAACTGTGAAGATAACTTCATAGTTATTGAATGTCTCATCTACTGTGATATGCTATGGAATTAGACACAATAGTATTTGGAGCTTTTCATAATATTATTTGGAATATCCAGGTTAGAGGGAGAAAGGGACACAAAAGCAGGAGTAATCTTAACAATTTTTGGATTTCAAAGTCTGGCATTCCTTGGTAAAGAGAAAACAGTGGAAGGGGTTATGTTCATATTTTCTTCCGAGCTGTACTTTTTGACTGAGTTGCCAAGCCTCAGAATTTCAGGTATTTTCTTTTTTTCTCTCTGGAAAAAAAAATTGTAATTGACATTTCATATGTAAGATTAATTGTAATGTATACAGAATGATTGATGTCTTACTTTTAAAGATATCTTTGCTTTTCCTCAACATTTATGATTAGATTGCAGTCTTGTCACAATAGCTTGTCACACTTTTACTCTCAAACCACTGTATTTTTTAAGTTGAAAATTACTTTTTGACATTTTTCAGATTTCTACAATACTTATGGTTTATTTTCATATTCAGCAATATTATTTGTCTTGAAATAGTGTGTCTGGTGCTATTTATATAAATGTATAAATATGTGTACATGCCTGTATAAACATGTGTATGTGTTTCTTTTGGTGAAGTTACTTTATGATGGCTGTTAGAGAATCATAGAATATAACAACTGTTTTGTTTTCTTTGTAATAGAATGGTGATGGAATGATACACAAGGACAAGCTACGAAAGATCTTTTCTCAGCTGAATGTGAATCTGGATGATGAGCTCCTGGAAATCTTATTTGACTGCTGTGATTTGGATAAGGATGGTCTGATTAATTACCGGGACTTTGCGAACTTTCTGAACTGGAAAGATAAAATGGGTGTTAAAGAGTTTGAAGAAAAAATAATTACAAAAGGTAGGTGCCTTAATACTGGGAAAATATGGGGATGATCTTGTTCTTAGGATAGCTGTTGAAAGGACATTGCTGTTGTAAACTAGGTGCTCCTTTAAAAGGGTAGGATTTAGAGACTGATTTAACTACCAGCATCTCAGGTACAGTTGTGTTTCAGAATCCTGGAGTTCTGTGTTGCATGCTGAGATTGACACTGGGAAGTTTCCTCAGTAATACAGATCAACAGGAAGTAAAACATCTCCTAGAAGCACAATCAGAAATGTAGATGAGTTATGTCTCCTCTTTTACAGTTATTCAAACAAAGTTTTTTGCCTCTTAGTTTATAATATGTTGATAATATATCTTGGCTGTCCCATAACTTTTTCCCTTTTGTAGGGAAAAAATTAGATGCCTATCTTCCCAAAGACACACAGAAAGAGGATAAACCACTGCCAGAACAGAAAGATCTTGAGTTAAAAGAACGAGAAAGCTCAGAAAAGATGCCAAAACCACTTACAAGATCAACAGACCGTGTATATACGAATTATCAAACATCATCTTCTCAGTATAATGCTGTAGTTGGTGGTATCCCAGCATCCTGTAAGTACAGTGGACTGTGCTGCTCACTTGTGAGCATTATTTAAGACAAAATCGGGAGCAAAGTTAAAAAGTATTGCTACAGGTTCTACTAATGTAAAATAGCAAATTAATTTTATATTTAAGTTTTTCAAGATTAGGAGTTGGAAGGGATTGCCTGTTCAGCATTGAAATTAATCTAGGTGTCTTTGAGAAATTATGTTTGTAAATTTGGGAGGATCATATCTCCTTACAATCATGTAGGGGAATAGAATATAAGAAAATAAAGGTAGTACAGAAAGTAATCTTACCCCCTAAAGAGTTGCAGCTGGGTTAATTATCAAAGATTAGGAGCAAGCCTGATGTTAACAGGCTGCAGCTGTAGCCAATAACAAGAGTGTTATAAAGGAGTGGATTGGGTGGTCGAGAGGAGCTGGAGTCAGTTGGCCACTGCAAGAAGAAGAAAGAGTCAGTGCTTGGAGGAGATGCCCACAAGAAACATCAAGGAGGTGTGAAACTCTTACACTAAGGAGACAGCAATATGAAACCTTTGCAATATAATGATAACACAATCACCTAAAATAATTTCAGCTGGAAATATTAAGTAAGTAAGTACTAGTATATTACTGCAAGAGTCCTTGTTTTCACACTTCATGATGTAGCTGAAGCCAGAATGTCTAAAAATGTGAAAAAAGATATGAGGAAGAAAATTATGTAACTTATTATTGAACAAGCATCACATTTCTTCTTATTTCATACAAAATGTTTTCTCCTCCCTGGCACTATTTATCCATGCTACCTGTTGATTGTTTTTCACAGGTTATCCATTGTGTGGTGTTCCAAGTATTCGTTCAGATATTCCTGCTCCTCAAGTTTGTCGCCTCAGTGACACGACTAATTATGGTGACCAGGGCAGTAGTTTTTCACTTCTGTACCCTTCTGTCTTCAGTCAAAAGGGAGTATATGAAAAACACCTTTTAAAAAAGAGACCAAAGGCAGAGGTATAGTGAATTTCTTCAGAATATTCTTCCAGGATAATAATTCTGCTAGCCATATGGGAGTGGGAAGTCATTAAGTAAACAGGTTGTAAAATTCATAGTGCAACGTTACCATCTTGTGTTACATCCATTCAGCTATCTGAAAAATATGTACTCTTCATGTTCTAAATTATTCCTAAAGATGGTAGATGTTAATTTTATTGTGATCCAAGCTATTGAAATTTCTGAGCAAGGTCTCAAGCAATATGGTTTAATAGTAAAGTTAGCCCCGCTTTGATTATGCGATTGGATGAATGATCTCCAGAGATCTCTTCCAATCTAAGGTATTCCATGAAATGTCTTAAAAAGCTCCACAAGGAGATTTTTAAAGGTGTATACAAATAATTTCTATCACATAGGGGTGTTTAATGGAAGATTTTACCAAAAGTGTCTCTCCTCAGACAAACTTGGCAGCTTTTTGCTAATGACAAATTCACCAAACCACTTGAAAGTACCTTTTAAGTGCTCTGCTGAGTCACAGTTGTAGGCTCAGGTGTACAAAGGATCTGTATATGATGGAGGACATTGGGACTCACACAGCAATGCTGTGCTGTTTCATAATTCTGAAGGCAAAGTTGGGACATGAGACTCTACTTGGGACTCCAGAGGGACTTACTTGGGGACTCCATGATTTCTCTGATACATCTGCAGCCTCCTACCACTCTGTTTTCTCACAGACCAGAATTTCTCTCACATAAGTACTAAAATAACTTTGCTCTTTCTTCTTCAGTATTGTTTACCACTTTGTTTTTACATTTGTATACAATTCATCGGGAAAGAATTTTAAGAGAACTTCATTACATTAAATACAGTTTACTGGACAATTGTGATGAAATGCGAAACTCTAATCTAAAATGAGAAAAGAAGCTGTGGCAACCTCTTCATTACATTAATGACCTCTGCTCATTATATTAAATGTTCAGCAGTCATGTTTGAAAGTGGATCTAGAGATTGAATGTATATTTTACAAAAAATAGTGTTGCTGGTTAGCGATTAGGGGTAGAAGGTGTGGTGTCATGCTCATCAAATGCCTTGTTAGAACATGAGCTTTTACCACTTTATAATCTAGCTCTGAAAGCAGGAAATGAGTGCATGCAGCAAATAGCTAACAGTAAATGCAATTCATGCTTCATTGAGAAGCCAATTACATCTGCCAATTACATCTGTCAGGCACTAGATAGAGCTGTTCTTTGAAGTTATAACATGTCCTGAGATGTCATACTCTATTGTAGACTATACCAGCTATATAGAATTCAGTGCAGAACCACCTTTGAGTCTGTTGAAACACCCTATGTTCATGAAATGGGATATTTAGCAATTTTATGATTGTTGTTTTGATATGTATAATTACTGTTTCCAAAAATTTCATGGTTAATGAAATTATTCTATGATTATATGATATTATTAGATGAAAGCTCAGAGTAATTTAATAGTGTTTTTGTATAGTGTGGTAGAAATGAATGCAAATTCTGACTATGAAGTAGTATTATGAGGTGACTCATCTTGTTACAAAAGAACAAAATAGTTCTTGGGCTTGCTGTTTTCTTCACTGAAATTCCCTCCAGTCTGTTGAAGAGGATACAAGTTCTGTAGTTGAGGAATAGTGTGTAATTTGTATGCAGCATGTTGATCATGGGTGAGAGTGAGTTTTATCCTGTCTGCAGACAGTCTGTGGTTTGGTCAGTGATGATTTTACAGCAGTTGAGTCAGGACAGAGCTCTCTCAATATGGTGAAGCCAAATTATGAGAACATGTAGTCCTTTATTCTCCCTGCAGTGGTGTCCTGGGAAGGAATATTGCTTTTAGTTTCATTCCTATATTTCACTAGCTTGTTGAAGACAATGGATCAGATCTGGTTTGTTTTACTTGTGGGTAGTATGATTGATGCAACTGATACAACACTTATGCTTAAAGAAACAAAATTCAGTCCCTTCTTTCCTCGTGCAATTTCACCTTGCAGAAACACTCATAGATTTATTGGCTAAGATGAAGCTGGAGATTTGTTGTACTGAGGATCTGGCCTATATTTATACAAAAATATAAAAGACGGTAAGGCTTATTTGACTGCGTTAAAGGTCTTTATCAAAGCATGCATCAAGTCTCCATAGCAAAAATATAACACACGAACACAGACATATATGATACAATTGAAGAAGCCAAATGTTTGCTGATACTAACAGAAGCACAGAGTGCATCTATGTTCTTCTAAAGTTACCTTCCTCTAATGAGTCAACAGGTCAGTGTAATGAGGCATGCAACAGGAAGCATCCAAGTGAGAAAACAGGGGAATAATCCTTTCTGCTGAATTATTTCGGTGTAAAATTATAGCAAAACTCAAAGTTGATGTGAACCATTTCATTTTAGTCACTTCATCCACTTATCTATACCAGCTGATGACCTTGTGTGTAGTACTGTTGCTGTGAAATGCAGATAATAATTGAATGTGATTTGTATTGGTAACTGTAGACAGCAAAAAGAGTGGATAAACAGAACTTTACTTAGGGCTTTTGAAAAACATTTACTTTTCCCTTAGTCTTCTGCATTTGATTTTTGTCCCAGCATTGAAGTAGTGCATCCACATTACTGCATTAATTACAGACAATTTTGTACACCTTTCATTGCAATAAGATTCAGATTTACTTAAATAGAAACTTCTTTTGTTTAGGATACAGGATGTGGTCTGTAGTTTTAACTTAAGAGTGGGAAAATATTCTTTGGCAAATAGAGATTGCTAAATATGTCAAAGCCAGACACTGTAGAGTTTAACAAAATGCTGACTCGAATTACATTGATTGCATTATTTTATATTATTTTTGTAGATTAAACAAATTCTCCACAATATGGGCATGAATACTTCAGATGAAAGGTTTGAAGAAATATGGAAGCAAGTGTGTACAAAACATGAGATACAAGAGCTTTGTGATTGTGAAGAAAGTATGTGGAATATACTGAATAAGATACATGAATCAGGCATAGAATTCTAGTCTCTGGACACTGCTTTTATTTAACATTAGTCATAATTCTGGTGCTGAATAAAAAAACCCCAAATATTTATATGTGTATTGTCTTTCTGAGTAGTGGGTTCACCACATATATGGATCATTGCGTTTGGTAGGAACTGGTATCCATGCTTGTAAATGTAGTACCAATATTTACAAATATATCCCATTTTTCATTTATTTAAATTTATTTTTTTCTCTTATAAGTGGAAAAACCCTTTAAAAAGTGCTAAAAATAAATGTTTCAGATATTCAAGGCCTGTCAAAGATTATTATCATATCATGGCATTTTCCCTTTCTTCTCATGTTCCATAATTCTTGTCAACAGAGATCTGATTGTGGCAAAGTATTTGAGATGTTTGACCATTCATGTGTGAAAGTGCTTTACAGTCCAATAGTAAGAAAGGTAAATAGCAGGAGGTGTGGGATCTGAAGTGTTGTCATGAAATAGACTCCATAAAAACCTATAGGGTAAGAAGTGCCAGGAATGAATGTCCAGTTTGTGGTAGAGGGCTCCTATTCCTTATGCAACCTTATGACTCTTACTTAATAGTATTCAGCTTTCATAATGAGGAAAAAAGTATGGATATTGAGAGGTGTTTATGTAATAAACCTTACATTGCTGAGTAGTCAGAAAAGTTTATGAGGGCTTTCAGAGAGCCCTCATTTCATTTTTGACCAGTGTGGTTTCTTGGAAAGAGGGAGAGTCATTAATAGAAAACCCTTAACGATTATTATGCAAATCTCAATGAATAGATGTAAAGTCCAATAAGAATAAATAATGGAAAGAAAATAATATGAAAACATGCAACTGTGAGTGGGAATGTTCACTCTTACTACTGAACTTTGATGTAAAACAGATGGAAATTGTTCACTATTAACAGTGAGAAGTATTACTTCTAGGCTCTCTAATGCAAATGAAAGATCCTTGTCCAATGTAATCTTAATATACAGGATTTAAGGAAGGATGCTATTTTGTCACCTATTAGTGTTTTAAATACCTTAGTAAGATTCGGAGAACGTTACCAGCCAAAAGTGTTACTGAGTTTTACAACACAAGTAAAGGTTTCTTTTGTTAAATACTAGAAATGCGCATGTAATACCAGCTTAATGTTTTAGTTCCTTCTTCTGTCGTGTTTAAGATTCCTCTTTTGCCTATGTTCTAGGAGCTGGTCATTTACATGTAACTTGCTTGTTACATGAGATCTGCAAGTCAGACCCTTTTGTACATTATTTTTGTAGCATTAACAGCAACTGTCTTACATCAAGTAGAAACAATTTGCTTTCTGGTATCTTCAAGGAGCAGGTGGTGGAAATGCTGCTGGATGAAGGCAACTACTTTCCTGCTGGAGAGAATTACTTCAGAAAAAACGAAATATTTTTCCTCTTCAATAGAAGATTTTAGATGAAATACTCAAGCTCACGTCAGGGGAAAATGAAAAAAACTTACTGGATCTGTGTGTATGTATTTATGTATGTGTATACATGAGATCTGTTCTGTTTGTTGAGCAGCTTGAAATTCTGTGAACTTTTTTTTTTATTCTACCATGAAGTACTTGCACTCCTCTTTCAGTAGAATCCTTTCCTTTGTCAATGAAATTGAATTAATGTTGTTCTTGGTCAGTCTGCTAAATACATTCTGAGTAAAAAAGACTGCTAAATCATGGTTTCATTTTTTGTGAGTATATTTGTAACCACAGACTAAAGATTTTCTTTCAGGTTTGGGTTTGAAATTACCCCTCTGAAGCTTGAAAAGATAAATTACTGAAAAGATCTGTAAATTCTGCTCATAGGTGCTTGTTTTTCATCACCATACTGATTAGGAAGCCCCTGAAAGATTTAATAACTATGACACAGTGACTTCTCAGGGGTTCCCCAAATCCTTTGCTTCCTTTTGTGAAACAGTTTGTGTACACAGAGCTTCGGTGCGGGTTTTTCTGTTTCATGTCTAACTTCCCAATATGTGAATTCAATGACATGTTTTTAGACTTTAAAGCTGCAAGTTGTGTTCTGTAATTTTTGTGGGTCCCTCAATATATTCCAAAAGACAGAAAAAAAAGATTTGCTTTTGTCTGTATTTCAGTGTGATTCTAGGTACAGAGCTGGTGTAACTAGGACAGCACACTACCTTGCACTAACCCAGGGGCTGTATCCAAGGTAAAGTTTTTGGAAAGAGATGTGAAAACAACTCAAAAGCCATGTGTTCTAAGAGTAAATGTGTAAATTTAGTGGTTGAGGCAATTTATTCTGTTAACAGTTATATTAAAAAATCACATGTTTTCTGAGATGGTGGACAAAGCTAATAAACAACAAATTGTAGCAAAGGTAAATATTTTGTCAAAAATCTGTGAGTTCTAGACATTTTGTGTCAAATTTTCTTAATAGAATTTTCATAAAAATAGACACTGGATAAAAGACACAGCACATTCAGATACTCGTGCATTATTTCTCTATTAATCTGTTTCACTGTAATGAGTATTCCAAAGAATAATGTACTTAATAATGATGCATTTTTAATTGGTTCTGTCAAATGAACAAAGTTCATCTTAGGGCAGATGTATTGGTTTTCCGGAGCTGAGCAGGGAGCTCTTCCTATATACAGAGATAGAGACCAGTGTTTGCTAGTCCTCAAAAAACCATGACAGGGAAAGTGACTTTCAGTACCTAAAGACACCTGTAAAAGATAATGTTGAAGATTTGAATGTGCAAAATTGCTTTTCATTCATTCTGTATTTCTGGCAGTTTGGAATGTGAATGTACACAACTAGTATGCCTTACTTGGCAGTGACTTGTGCTAAGTAAAGCAGATGTTGGACTAGATCATTCGGTTATTATTACTGTTATTATTTCAGTTCTCTAATGAAAAAAATAATCTGTGCAATGACTTTTGTTTGACATGCTGGATGATCCAGCCCCCTGTCTTCCACAGAAATGTATGTACAGATAAATGTAGACCTTTTCCTAGATATTATTAATAGCTAACATTATTGTATCTGTCGTAAAAAGATTTAGTGTTTTTGCTCTGTACATCAAGAGCCATTGTTTTTCAGTGATTTATCTGATCAAGTAAATTTCCTGGTCCTTGAACTCATTCCTTGAAGTGAATGGCCAGTTTTGCCTGTTTACTTGATTTGGTTTCTAAACAGCTGTATATAATTATTTGTGTGCTAAATAGAATGCTAATAATCTTTTATACTAAGAAGAGTACTTCAAATGGATGCCTAAGCAGAAAAGGTACTGGGGGAAAGTGCCTAGAAAGATGGTGAAAGTCTTTGTGTTGCCAACAGATGGGAGCAGATATGATATTTTTGGAATGACTTACACAGCCTAATTAGTTGATGTTTGCCATTAGGATGCGTTTCTTTGGACAGTAGTTATTTGCATTTGACAGTCTGTCACAGTGCACCATCTGCCTGAGTGGCTTCTCCTTGCTGGATGGCCAGAGTGCTTTTCTGGCAGCTAGGTACAGGTTTAGGCATGCCAGAGAAACACTAAATGCTACCATTGTTAAATAGTTCCAATAGGATATTTATTTCTTTACTACTCTTTAATAACCTACTAATTTTGGAGATGTCATCATAGATTATTCAAACCCATAGGAAAGATTTTGAAGTCTTTGATCAGGACTAATCTGCAAGGAGAAAGGTAGTTAAAACAGTTGCCAGTAGGTTCTGATTTCCTATGACAGGTGCTTGCTGATTTCTGCCAGATGTGTGGGTTCTCTGAGGCCTGGAGGATGTAGAGAACTTGTGCTTCCTGGGTCCGCATTCTTAGTTCCAAATGTGGAAACTTATATTTCTGGGGACACAGGTATGCGCAACTGTCTTCTGAGATTATACCCTAAGAGATGAAGTGTTAAACTCTGTAATAAAAGTAAAGAGTAAATCTGCTGTGTTCTGTGTGCTTTCGAAGGTGACTTTTTATTCCAGGGCCTAGGCGTAGATGAAAATGGCAAAACTAAGACTAAATCTGAAGGAAAAGAGGACCTGAGTACCACTGACAGGTTTTAGTCATGGTGTTTATAAAGGTTCTCTTCCTCTAGTAATAAGGATCATATATTCTGTATCCTAAAAAAAATAATCCTGTGTGGGGTGTATATTCACTAGATAAGATTCTACCACACAATCAAATCAGGAGTAGACAGAGGAGTTTAAGAACATGTCCTTCTAGAAATAGCTTTCCTATAAGCCTTGATGTTTTCTGCAGATTCTAGAAATTGTCAAGTGTTTCTTTGAATCTGGAGTGGTACAAAGGACTGAAATGAGAGTGAAGAGTTTTCAAATGGTACCAGTTAATCACAGGGTTATGATTTCTTTTTTTTTCAGTGGTTTTCAACAGATTTCAAACACAGACATACAGAATCCCAAAGGACTGCTTTAGTAAAAGTGTGTTCCTCAGTGCATGACAAAGTGTAGAGTTTTCTGCTTGTGAGCAATGAATATAACATGAGAATGTAATGCGTGTCTTCACAGGGCAGCTCAGGGGTTCTATCTAGCCCAGCACACCAACTGACAATGGTCAAAAACATGTTTATGGAAAAGTAGCCCACCAGGGCAAATGTTTCAATATTTGTTCCAAGCAGTTCTCAGTGCTCCAACTACTTGAGCCTCAAGTGGTTGAAAGGAAGGAAGAACTTTTCTGAGAAGCATTCTTAACATTCAATGATCTTAAGCATGTTTCTCTTCATGAGCTTCTCCAGTGCAACCTTGAAACTTTGGCATGCTCTACCTTCTGCAACATCTTTTGTCATGGATTTCCATAGTTTTAGCAATACATTGAACAGAAAACCTAGCTCCTTTGCTTATTTTAAACCTCCTTTCTAAAGTCTTAGTATGATGTAAGATGAGCAGAAACAACAAACAAATCAATTTCCAAATGCTGTCTGTGATACCGATGCTTATAAACCTTTGTCACATCCTTCCTAAGTCTGGTCTGGGGACTGCTTGCTTACCTGTTGCCTGCATAGAAATGACTTTTAAGTCTTCTTTTGACAGGTTATCTTTTTCTGAGATGTTTCTGGCTCTGCAGCACATTTTCTGAGGTACCATGAGCATGGATTTAAAAGTGGCAGACGGGAGCTTTCTCTGTGCTGTCAGTTGATTTCCCCCAGTAACGATATTGGGAATAACTACTGTATTTCAAACATGGAAGCAGGGGCAGTTTCAAAGGAGTGCAGTGATTTTGTACTGAGTCAGAGGTCATTGCTGAGGGCAACAACCATGTAATACGCTGGTGTATGTTTACTGCAAACATAGTTCCCCATGACCTGCTTTGCTCTTATGTACTGAGTCAAGTAGGTTTGCTTCCAGATTGCATGTTGCTTGGAGAACAGAATTTGGTTCCCTTTATACACCTGGAGAGTCTACATAATTTCTTTAATAAATAAAATACTTTGGAGGTGTAGGATGGAAGATGAAACCTGAAATTAAATGGCTTTGCTTTAATAAATTCTCTGTTGTCCAGTTTCAGTGGGAATATATACTAGTGCTATATCTGTATTTCTTTATCTTATCCAGTGGAATTATACCAATACCAAAAGGTCACTCATACAGTGTTTTATTCAAAGGACAGTCCAGCTGAAAGCCAAATGTAAATGGATTCCAGACTTCTGATGTTTCAATAAGAATGCCTTTTGAAGTCCTTATTTGCACCAGCTTTAGAATGGAAAGCATTACAAAGAATTTCTGAGAGAAAAAACAAGCTGGTGATTAATTACTTCATTTGAGCTGGACTTAAATTGCATTTAAAATAGTAACATGATGAATAGGAATGTAGGATTGGAGGGATTTTTGTTGGTTTGTTTTGGTTTTGTTTTTTTTTTTCAAGTCTTCTCTTGTCCTTATTCTACAGGTGGGGAAACAAAGACTCATATAACCATTTTTTTGAGAAGTGCTAAAAGCATTTGTAGCTGTGCAGCCATCTACTGAAGACAGTAGGCAATTGTCTCTGTGTACATGCAGGCATGTAATTGTCTGTCACAGACCTGGTTTTCTTTTCTAATTCAATCACACAGGCGGCTAAGTCAGGCCTTGTTAAAACACTGTAAACACTTATTAAACCACCATCATCAATGATTAATATATCCTTGCTTGAGAGAGCCCACAGTTCACCTCTCAAGTTGCTTTGATGTGAAACCTACTGCCAGTAGCAGGGATAAGATTGAGACCAAAAGCTTAGATATCATGCCAAGTATTTCTTTTCTGAATAATAGCTGTTGTTCTTAAAATTCTGTTTGTTTGGGTTGGGTTTGTTGTTGTTTTGTTATTTTGTATTGCTGGAAACAATATCAGTAGCCTGAGTATGTTGTCACAGAAAGTGCTGGTACTTTGTTACTGACTCATTTTTTGCTTCATTTCCCACCATTTATTGTGTTTGTCAGCTTTTCTGTTCAGACAATTTACTTCGGGCTTGTGAGATTGACATCGCTGGAGCACACAGCCTAATAGTGTTTGCAGGTGGTCAGAGATGAGCTAACAATGTTCCAGTGTCATGATTACTGGTCTTATTATCTGAGAACAAAAAGAACTGAGAGATTACTCAGTAAAATTCTGCATAACAAACATTTGTTTGTAAAACGAGGCATGGTTCAGATGAGTGATGAGTGCTTCCCTTTCCACTGCTGCTTCACCAGAAAATTAGGGAAGCAGA